TTTCTTAAAAGTACCACTTTTCGCCGATTTTGGACTGGTGGGGATATAGTTCCTATCGGACTAGTTCCTTTTTGGCGATAAAGACCTAGTACGGAACTAGAAATTTGATTCACTAGTCCGCGGTTTCCCTGCAGGGTAGTCATGATTCCAAATTCTCTAGTACCGAATCAGTTCGTATGCAAATGCACATGTATGTGTATGTAAATGTAGACAAACATTGTGCATGCAGGCACACTTGTATATCAGTCTGACTGGCCGTCGAAAGCCTGGGTGTTGTTTCATCTGTCGCAATGCCTATATTATTCAGTACTTCAAAGAACCGTGAATGTGTTGGGTTTTTTGTTATTGTTGCAGACGTAAATGCTTCTGTGGATTCATTAGGTGTGCACAGCTCACCCGTTGATTTACTTTCCCTTTTCCCTTTGGTAATTTTTCGATTCTATATGTTGTTGATTCCGTTGTTCTCTCGAATGTGTTGCGTTGCAGACGGACTCAATCCTTTGTTGCCTCACGTATACCTAGATGTGTAAAATATTTATGGCAAAATCCATAACTGTACTCAAAAGTTAAGTTATGTATACTTACCTCCAACTCCTACCGCGGATCTCGAGACATTTATAGATGTGCATCCTTTGCATATCGTTATCAAGAAAGGTGGAGATTCAGAGGATAAGAAGTTTGTACACCCATCCACCCTCAGGGTTAAAAAACCAGAAGAGGGACTTCGCATAAGCTTTATGAAATTATATAGCTATATGGTGACAGGTAACAAGGTCAATGGAAATAAGGTCAATTGACACTATTTCGCATACTGGTGCGAAATAAAGTCAATTGACATGACTACCTTCTCAAAATCGAAATAAAGTCAACAAAAATTTGGAAATAAAGTAAATTATGCTGTTTCCTCATTCAAATGGAAATAGCGTCAACAATGCTTAAGGTATGTCGATTAAATGTTCTTGCATCGTACGTGAGATATAAGTGTATTTTCCTTCCATTGATGAAATAGGTTATTGCCAAATCCTCAGTGTGATATTAATCATCAACACACGACCATGAACCACCACAAATTGATTTTATTAAAACATTTATAATTACGAATATAATAAAAACACGATGGCAAAAACCAAACGCAAAAAGAGCTGGAATACGAGAAATATTTGGCGAACACAAGCGGGGCGTGGCGGGGCACTATTATCTATGCGAAATAGTGTCAATTGACCTTATTTCCGTTGATAGTGATACCTAATTGTTTAAAGTGGATTCTTCTAAATACCAATGTAAAATGTGTAAAATATTATGTATTTCAAATATTAAATTAACGATAATATTCGTATGTACATATGAATGTACATATATAGAAGGTTGAATAAAAACTCACTAGTAGCAATAAAAATTCCTAAATTTTAATTTCAGTCCTTACTAAACGCAAAAACTATTTGTAGATACCCGGGTATGTTTCGTGTTGGGAAGGCGTTTGGAAAATTCGTATTGACACAAAGGTTATTATTCGAAGGTTTTTATTCGAATTATCGTGTGACGGACAGACAGTCACCGCTTGATCGATTTATTTTTTCATTCTTATCATTTATGTATACTTTAAATTTATCAATATCTATCTCGATTGATTTTGGCTGTTACAAACAAGTGTTTTGTGAACAAAATTATAATACCCTTGGGCACAAGAGCGTTCGGGTATAGAAAGGAAAACATGATCCAAATATCATAATGACGACGCAGCATTTTTTACTTATTTTGTTGGCATGATTAAATAGGTAACTTATGTTGCGGTATTTAAAGCCCCACATATTTTTTAACTTTGTAACATTTTTTGAATACAGTACACAGTACGCCAATACCTCCGACGATGGGAAAGGACTGATCCACATCACCTATGTGCGGAACATAGTATTTGGTAGTACCTGAATCCATAGAGCCTCATGGATATGCTCTGATCGAGGAGCAAAAAAAATTCAGCGTGGTTTGATATAGAGAAAACTTGCTTCGAGTGTTCTTGACTTCCATTCAATCCGTTGGGCAAACATCGACATGGATTATCTTGTTGCTGCTAAGGCCAGTGTTTGAGAGATGGTAAGAAGAATGCAAAAACTGTTAAGCACATGATGGATGGTTCTGCTGTTCGCGCTAATTAATGCAATATACAATTTATGTATGTCCTTTGGAGCCTGATCAATGGTACAGCTTAACAGAGCGATTTTGGATAAGCCAATTGTATCATTGGCTAGAGTTTTAAAGGACAGCAAATCATGGAAACAACTTTATATAAACAAATTGCCGGAAACTCCGTCTTCGTCGACCGCCCCTTCTGATGCGACCCCTCTTTTATATAATGCAGAATCTAGGGTTTTCGATAGAAGAGAGAACAGTTCCGCGCAATATCTATGACTCTGTTCACATAGGCGATGTAAAAAAGAATTTTATGAGGTTTATAATGGCATGGGCATAGTCAAAGGCAATGACTGCGCTGGCTTGGCCAAATTGTTTGCATGGATGATGATGCTTAGGTGAAAAAATCATTCACTCGGCTCCCAAGAAAGGACAACGAAAGCAAAAGAGCCGACAGACCCAATGAAAGGGCCAAGCGCAGAAGGACCTGTCTATAATTGTTGTGGATGTTTACCTGGCCAAAGACAAGGGCCATAGGCGATTTTTTTTTGTATTTACCCAAATTGACAGGCGGCTCTAGTGCCAGTAACTGAAACTTGAACCAATAAAACTGGGTAGAACACGCAAATTTGCTTTAGCTGTAGATTTTCCTTCAGCTTTTGCATCTTTAATTTTTTACAGTGTAGTTTTAAACACATATGAACTTCCATACTCACTTTTGCGCCTGTATGCCTGAATTGAAGATTGCATTACCCAGCAAACCGTTTTGTTTGATATCAACTTCAGACGCATTTGATATTAAATAGCTTTCTATTACGGTGTTCTCAACATAAAAGTCACTTTTTTACATGAACATTTGTTTAGTTATCAAATTGAAAAATTGATAATCCTCCACTTAACCTCAAACAAATTTCCACTACTTAACATTTTTTATTAAACATTAAAACAGATCAATCCTTTTGCAAGTAAAATATATATACAGTGATTGACTCAAACAAATGACCACGTGTTGATTTTTTTTTTTTTAATATTCGTAATGTTCTTGGAGCTAAATTTTTATTGATGTTTTTTAAAAAACACCGTCCAAGTTTTAACAAAACCGTATAAATCAAGGTTTAAAACTTTATACAAAAATTAGGAATATTCAAAAAATGTTCATCAATATTTCGACTTTTTAATCTGAATCTTTAGAAAATTTTTATTATGCAGTTTTATATCCTTTTTGTCTTAAGTAGATAAATTATTTACAACTTTCTGGCAGCACTCACAGTGACTCAAACAAATGACCACGTGTTGATTTTTTTCTAAATATTCGTAATGTTTCTCGAGCTAAATTTTTTTTGTTGCTTTTTAATAAAAATACCGTCCAAGTTTTACTAAAATTATATAAATCACCGTTTCAAACTTTGTACATAATTTAGGAAAATTCAACAAATGGTAAGGAATTCCGAAATTCAACTTCAGAATTAAGGTTGTATTAAACACTAGAGAATATTTTTTCTTATGTTTGCTGGGTAGTAAGATCGTCCGCATCGTCTGTAACTGCTACTGCGCGCTGCTTACTGACGATTCCTCCGACTCTTAATCTTTTCTTGCTTTCAGAATATTTGGTACCTATGATGTTATTTCAAACAGACATACCGTAAACATGTGTATGTATGTATGTATATGCACACAAATGCATGTATATAGCTATGAATCTGGCGAGGCAGAATACACATACTTGCAGTTAAATTTGGTCGCAGGTCCCTAAATATGCTCAGTAAGAGATTCTTTTCTGTGCGGTGCGGTACTGAATTCCATGCGTTTAACGACGTAGTCCTGCGCAAGCGCGTGTGATTTACATTACGATTGGATTAGTGATATAATTGATCATAAATTAATTTAATTAAATAAGGAATTGAATGCAAAGTGAACCAAATAATAATAAAAAAATTTATAAAAAATTTAACTGGGATACTATTTTTGTGTAGCGAAGGAAACAAATTTATTAAAATTTGTGCATCAAAATGGCTGTGTTGCATATAAGACAGTGCTTATTATTGCTGTTTCTACTACCAATAACGGTAGCGCCTAGTGCCGCTAAACACGCACTAACTGAACAGCGCAAGCACAACCAGCGCTCCTTGACGCGTCAACAAAAAAGTGCACTTGCGCGTAAATTACTCCTCGTCGATGGTTTGCAAGTGGAGTCAGAGGGTTATTTCGATATCGTTGAGCAACCAGAACAGTTTATTGAAATCGATACACAAATCGTAAGTAAAGTTTACTACATACATCTTACAAATACTATATGTATGTAGTATGTGCATGTATAGTATGTAAGTAACAACCTTTTCAAACATTCGATTTTTTACCTTCATTACTTATTGTGTTCCACTCTACCACTTTTTAGGCGCCAGAAACCAAAGGCAAGCATGGCGCCATTGAACCGACGCATCTAAAACATCTACTCGACATTGCCGCCGTACAGGCGGAGGCGGCTGCCGCCATTGCAGCTGGCGACGAGGAGGCGAAAAACGTGTGGAGCCGCGCCAACGCAAATCGACCGGCCTTCCTCTTCGACAGCGCCGCCTTGTCGAAAATACAATCGAACACGAAAAGTATCAGCAACGACGATGGCGGGAATTTTTTCTACGAACGCAATATTATTGTGGAGCCGGCGCTTTCGGCGGCAAAGCTTAAAGCGGAACGCCAGCAAAAGAACGCAATGAAAGGCGACGATACAAGCGGGATACCGCGCCAGCGACTACAGAGCTTGGCATTTCGGAGGTAAGTCAAAAAGGAAGTAAAAAAAGGGTTCACCTTCCATGTGTATACACATACATATCCCTGAGTCTGTGTAACAGACGATGTTGAAAAGTATTTTTTTATGCTTTGGGATAGTCGCTAAACTTATCTTTTCGCGCATCTGCTGCCTGTTGCGCATTCAAACCGCAGTTATTGTAGCTTAAGTTGGTAGCAATATGGTCACGTGCCTTCCAGCCTACAACAATGGCTTGCACATGCTTATGTACATATCTATGCATGTATGTATGCACCTATGTACATACTTATATTCATGTAAACCTCGCATACATTTACTCTACTTCGGCTACGTTCCTACAATATTTGCCATATAAAAAATATCGAGTTATTGGTTTAAATAGACAGGCTGGCGTACGGCAATAAATTTCAATTAAACACAAATAGGGGCCTGTCTACCGATCGGTTGGAAGCCGCATAATCAATGTGTTTAAGTTGACCCATAACGCTTAAAACGGCTCCATTTCCGCTTGTCTCGCGTATCGAAACAAAAAAATCGAACCATCGTTCTTTTTTCGGAAGTTTTTTTATAAACCTTTCCAGTACCGAGAATTGTTATGTCTTTGGATACTCTGCGCAATCACTTTCAACCACTTTAATAGCAGCTCAGACGTTTCTACCTACCTGCTGCTCAAATCGTATACATATCAACCAAACGATTCACCTGCAACCGCATACACATGCATACTTTTCTATATGTACATTTGTATGTCTCAGGTACGTGGCTAGCAGATCGTGCGCGTAGACAATCTGGCAGTCCTTCTCACAATTACTCGCACACGTACTGTGTGACGCACTGCTGCATAAACATCTCTAGCCTTTGTTTATTTTTTCACTGTCACCTTTTCCAGGCTCGCAAGCACCTTGCATCAACGATCGTTTGGGAATTTCCAAATAAAAATCCTCAATTAACGCTGCCAGCCACTTGAGCTAGACAAAGGCGTCTTAATTTCAATATTCCGCTTTTGGTTTTGAACAGCCGCGTATACACCCTCACTAAGTGCTACATTTGTATATATCTAGTCATGTGCATTAGGGCGATCCCTAAAGATCAACGTCTAGGTTGTGTATGTGGCGGCATTTTATTTTGGTCTACTTACGAAATAAAGGCATCCACGAAAATTTCAAAATTTTAAAATAATGTTTACAATACGCTACCATCTAATAAATCTGATAACTTGATATTTTGTTCATTATACATATATGTACATATATATGTATGTAAATTCATATCATAGTCATCACCAAATGGATTCATCAAGCAATACTAAAAGCTCAGTTATGCAAGTCTTAAACTTGAGTTCCCAGTTAAATTTCTAAATGCAAAGAGAGCCGTGAGAGGATCATGCTGCCATTTCATTTTTTTTTCATAAAATCCCTACAAATATGTCACACAAATATAATTTTTTGTATAAATGTAATTTATCTGGCAATCGAAAAAACAAATTTTCAAATACAGGCAGAAAATCAAATTAAAAAAAAATCACAATTTCAATCGCGTAAATACTTTTATTATACCCGAGCGCAGTTGTGCACATAACGATTGCTTGTAATAGCCAAAACGAATCGAGATAGATATAGATATAGACAAATGTATACATAAATGCTCAGAATGAACAGAGAAGTCGATTAAGCCATGTCTGTCTGTCCGTCCGTCTGTCCGTCCGTCCGGGTACACGATAACTCGAGCAAAAATTGAGATATCTCATCGAAATTTGGCATGTAGGTTTCCATTAATCCAAGGTAGGTTGGTAACCACGCCCACTTCCCATATAACGGTAATTTCCAGAAATACGAAAACTGCGATATTGTAGTAACTACTGAAGATAATTCACTCAAAATTGATATTTACAATAATTTTCAGACGAAAACTAAGAATACTATAAATTTTTGGAAAATGGGCGTAGCCACGCCCACTTATGGTTACATGTGTATATCTTGGTAACCGCTGCACCAATTTCTTCCAAACTTGGCACAATTGTTGGCATTGGTATAACATTTGAAATGGCAGAAAATTTAAAAAATCGGACAATAACCACGCCCACATCCCATATAACGGTAATTTAGAGAAATACAAAATCTTCGATAAATCAGTAAATATTAAAGCTAATTTATTCCAAATTGATGCTTGCAACAATTCTTTACCAAGAAACACGTTTATGGTAAAATTTTGGAAAATGGGCGTGGCACCGCCCACTTATGATCACATATATGTATGTCGGTAACCGTTTGTACCAAACTCGGTATTTTTATTGTACTTGCCACATAAAAGCAAAATGTTGAAAATTATTGAAATCGGACTAAAATTACGGCCGCTTTTCATATAACGGTAAATTTCAGAAATGCTTGAAACTGCAATATTTCGAAACTTAAGGACGCTAATTTGCTTAAAATTGATACACCCGTGCTTACCATCTAGCGGTAGCTTTCGGAAATGTGAAACAACATATATTTAATACTTGCGCCGGGTATTTAATGAGCGGCTCCACCCGAACTTAGACTTTCTTACTTGTTTTAATAGTAACTTTGTGGCAATTTAAGTGTAAAAGCAATCTAAATGTTTCAAATTTACGTGTACATATACATGTTCTGAGAATCAAAACAAAGAGAAAAGGCAATAGGTGACACGCTGAGTAATCGAGTTTTAGTTTCTACGTACGGCAAGTCAAGTCTGAGTCTTGCCTTATTTCTCAAAAATTTTCTAAACTCTATAACACTGGTGTACAAACAATTATCTTGAAACAATAAATTCCAAGAAACTCGTGGATAGGGTAGAGTTAGTATGGACTTCCTGAGCTCAAACGCATTTTTTTTCTTTGGACCATTTTTTGGGATTTTTGGGGTTCTCGGGGTATTTTTTCATTCATGACTGAACTGACAAGTCCGCGCAATACCAATCCGTACTTCGCTAGATAGAAAATCAAATGACATAACACTTGTTTTAATCGAACCAAATTTCGCTGATTTAAAGCCGATCCAAGTTCATAATTTGTAAATTTTTGCTATTTAAAAACTTAATTTTTTTCAAATTTTCATGGTTGTCATTATTTTGTTCTTATGTAAAACAAAATAAGGGGTGCACCATACGAAATTTATATCTTGATATTTTTAAGGATCAACCTAGTGTACATATATATTTAAATAAGTAGCCACTTGTAGGATTTGCTTTGTAGGACGTGGTCCTTTTTTCATTAAACTCTCAGGTAAATTGTCAAATACTTTCTGCGAATTTCTCACTAAGTATTTTATTAAGGCTGAAGTCATACGATTGGGCAAAATGGTTGCAAAGAAATGCTAACAGGAAAATCTCTTTAGTATTTACACTTTAAAACATATATATGTACTTGCATTGGTACCCTGCATTAAAAGCTACTAGTTGCGAATTAGTGCGGGGGGTATACATCTAGACGACTATACTCAATCCCGACTCTTACGTCCTCGTACGCGCACTCTGGGCAACGTGAGCAACCCATATCCGAGATGCGGTAAACCAATCCGAGTGGAGCCTTGGGTCACGGCAGAAAGAGAGGGAGCTTCTGTGGGGCTACTTCGACTTAGCAACGTCTGTTCGCAATGAGGTACGGCTGCAAGCAGGCTCGCTATATAAACGTGTATCCGGTGGAGAAACCACGCTTTCCAGTAATGGGTTGTGCGCTGGGCTTGGGACCCGCCACTTAAAACAGATTCCAATGCAAAGACCGAAAAAGCCTATTGCCCCGTAACGTTGACAACCCTTTCAAATGAAACAAAGACCACGATTATAGGGAAGGTGCCTCTATCCAACTGCTGTAAGTCATCACAAAATACCAGGCTATCATCACTGCAGTTCAGGAAATGCCATATACGGAGCATGGCTGCAAAAAAATTTTAGGATTGGTGTTTTTGGCGGAGAATACGACATTTTGTCTCCAGGTTCACCCTATCAGCGAGCGAATACAAACATCACCTTAATTTGTGTGCACGCCCCGACGGAAAAGAAGGACTATGATGCTAAGGAGTTTTTATATGAGTGTCTAGGATAAGCGTATGAGTGCTGCCCCTGCTACGATATTAAAATCGTGCTTGGTGACTTTAACGTCAGGATGGGAAAAGAAGGCATATTGATCCAACAGTCGGAATATCCCGCCTTCATGACAGCAGCTCCGACATCGGAAAGAGGCTGATCGACTTGGCCGCGCCACGGAACATGATAGTTAGTAGTACCAGCATCGAAATACCCACAAAGCCACATGGGTGTCCCCTGATCAAAGAACTAAGAACCAAATTTATCAAGTCGTGATATACGGAAGATTCTCTTCCAGCGTTTTTGATGTGCGCTCTATCCGAGGTGCCAACCTTTAATCGGATCACTACCTTGTTGCAGCTAAGGTCGCAAAGCTGCAGTCACAACGGACAGGCAAAATATTTAGAAATCAACTATCAACCCAGCTTAATCAAGCAACTGCTCATCGCCTGGACATAAATGAGCAGTCCATATCCCAATCACATCGAGGTTGTTGGCTATTACCAACCGCGCAGAAACAACTGCTGCAAAAAAATACGAGGCATACAAAGCTACAAAGCCAATGGCAACGCGCGCGACAATTGAGCGATACCGGGAATAAATATAGTTTAAAAAAACTAAAAAACACGCTTTTAAAGCATATAAAACTAAAAAATAAAATAAAAATTCTTAATATAAGTTGAAAATAATAATGAACAAAAAATACTAGTATTATTGTGAAAAAGCGTGGGCGCTCTTGCCATATTTTTCGTCTATCGAACAGCCCACACTTTTTCACAATAATACTAGTATTTTTTGTTCATTATTATTTTCAACTTATATTAAGAATTATTTTTTACTTTGATATGCTTTAAAAGCGTGTTTTTTAGTTTTTTTAAACTATATTTATTTTTAATTTTTTTGTTCGATTTATTGTTTTCAATATTAACATCGGCATGCTCTAACAGGAAATCGATGATTAGCC